ATGATCATATTTCATAAACAAACATTATTTTCAAAAAATAAAAATAAAAAATGAAGCCAAAATCTATGGACAAACGCGAGCTAAGTTTCACTTAGGTGAAGTCGATTCCGAGTCCATTTCTGAGAAAGGTCGCTGAACTAATGAAAATTGTTTACGAAAGTCACTTTACTTTATTTTGTAACCGGAAAGTCATATACTTTGCACATTGTAACTCAAAAGTCACTCAACACATTTAGAGAATATTAAATATTATTTTTCATATTTTTTTTAACTCAATCATTTAAATAATAAAAAAATATCCATTTAAACCGTGACTCAACCCGCTCTTTGACCCGACCCACTTTCTCTTATTGTTCTTACAAAAAACGTAAATATTATTTTGCTGTTAATTATCTTGGTTTTCAACATACTAGTTTAAGCAAAGTAATAAAAATCAGTTCGACCATAAATGGTCTTCTAATAACATTATCTTTACTATAAGTAATGCGCGCTCTTGTTCAAAAACATCGAGGATATTGTCTTTTAATTTACTCTTATATTAAAATTTCTCGGTCAAAATTTCAAGCACAAATAACTTTATTCATTTTTCCTTCCTCATTTTTATTTTATTCCACTTCTACGCTGCTAATTTTCGTGTTTCACTTTCAAATCTAACTCCTCTAGTTTGTTAAGATTAATTTTTTATTCTCTATTTAATACTTTGCTTAAACCAATGTATATATTCAGTATAACTATATTGAGAACCAATATAATACACTATAACACAGTAACATTTACGTTTTTTATATTAGAAATAAGAAAAAATGGGCCGGGTCATGGTTTAAATGGATTTTTTAAATTTTTAAATGGTTGGGCTGCAAAGAAATATGAAAAATAATGTTTAATAATGTAAAGTATAATGACTTTTTAGTTATAAAACAAAGTAAAGTGACTTTCATAAACAATATCTATTAGTTCAGTGACCATACGAGAAATGGAGTCAATCAATTTCCGTCTCCCTCAAGCTGCCATGCTTTACTTTAACGTTAGGTCTCTTGTTGGTCTAGGTAAATAAAATTTCAGGTAAGACGCTTCATAATTCAGCGACCAAGAATTCGCTGCATCTTTCTTTCTTTCTTAACTTTTTATAATCAGTGTATCATGAAAGGTATAAAAAAATACAATAACCAAGGCTTGATTGTCATGTAAATATAAGTTGCCTCTTTTATCATTATTACTTATCATCAAATATTCCAGCATAATCTCGAGTGGGGTGTGTGTATGTGGCGCGCGCAAACAAAAATTATCTCACTATCAACAAAAGTAATTATATTGCTGTTGATGGACATGTTTTTGTCACAGTATGCTCCATTTATTTGGAATTATTGATCTGCTTAATGTCATTTTTGTTATTATTGTCATGTCCATTATCACCTCTTTGTCAATTGCATTTAATTAAGTTCCACTTGTGAAGGACCACTTTATAGAAAGTATTTAAAGCGAAATATTTATGTTCATGAAATGAGGACACTTTCTACTCGAAGAAGTGTGCAATATGATAAACTTGTCACATGTGACGAAAGAGACCTATATGCAAATTATTCGAGTACTGTTTTACAATTACGTCTCACTAAGGGGCACCATTTTCTGAAGTAATATCCGAAACAACATTTTACTCTTCTTTTTTTTTTGGGGGGGGGGGGGAGGTTGGTTGGTAAATCACATAGTAGTATAAATGCTATTATCTACTAATAATCTATATCTATCTATATTATATTAAAAGCACGAAGGCCCTTAGCGAAATGTCGTTCGCCTTTTTTACCCCTTAAAAGATAGATCTCATATTGGACAAAATAGTCATTTAATTATTTTCCTAAAATTTAGGACTTTAAACTAAAATTTTGACCTTTAACTCTTTCCTTATTTGAATAAAATAAATTTTTCTAATTTAGGGATTTCAAAACAAATACAAATTTATTCATACAAATATCTTGACTAACGTTTAGTGCATTAAAATTCCAAGGTAAATTAAGTAATTGTACAAATTATTCAATTTAATGGTAAAACGTAATCCCCCTGAAACTTAATAATAATGGTCTTACCTTTTTAGAAAGCATCCAACGTATAGTGCATGTACAGTATATTTTTTTTATTTTATTTTTCAGTCATTTCAATAAATGATTTTTGTATATATTAAATAATTTATTGTAGTTAACACAGGATGGCCTGTGTCTTATCTTCGATATTTACAAATTATCCATTGTTGTTAATTTTTTTTTTTTTTTGATTTTTTAAGAGACTATTTCTTTTTTAAATTTTCGAGTTCTGAATATTCAACTAAATAATTAATACAATCAGCCAAATACAAAAAAAAATAAAAAAAAATAATGGTATTTGCTAGCAACAAGAAGTTCTTTTAAAGAAATTTTATATATCGTGCATCGTCATATACAACTTATTACCACGACAAGAACAAATTAAAAGATGGAAGAATAAAGAAAAAAAGATGAAAAATAAGAACTTATACGGAGACCCTTAGTTAAATATCATTCGCCTTTTTACCCTTTAAAAATAAAAGTCCACATTAGACAAAATAGTAATCTAAGTTACTTTCCTAATATTTAGGATTTGAAATCAACTAAAATTTTATTTATTAAATTGTTCCTTATTTGAACTATGTATAAAGTTATCACTTATATTTTATTTTTATAAATTCTTTTCTCATTGAACACTTTAAAAATAAAATTCTTATTAGCTAAAATTACAATTTGCTTATTAAATTTTTTCTTATTTCAACGAATATGTTGGATCTCCTAACGTTTAATAATTTAAAATTAATTAATATTTCATTTTACATAAATTTTCTTATTTGCCATATTGAAAATAAAAGTTTTATTTGATAAAACTATAAATACACTTTAATATTTAAAATCTAAGATGATTTAAAACTAAATCTTTCTAAATAATATATTTATTGTTACTATTACAAAAGTATAAAAACCGAATATAAAATATTTATCATCGACAAAATGTGAGTGATATCAATTCGAGAAAAAGACAAAGAATGAAAGTAAAGAGCATAGAATGTTTTTAAACTTTTAATCTCTTTTGTTATATAAAAGTAGATTAAACTCATTTTTCTACATAAAATATCTATTTTAGAATCTTGATAAATTAATATTAAATATTATTCTCTTTATTTTTCATAAAAATGAAAAACTAATTGGTTCATTACACGATTGGAATTAGCATAAAGTTTTTATACTCCATTTTATATCAACTGAAAGATAGATAGCTCTTAGTTCTTTTAAAAAGATTGATTGTCCAGAATTAACAATTAATATTAAAATCTTCGTTATTTGCTTATATTCATTACTTGCCTTTTCTAAAATTCATTATCTTCTTATGTAATAGTGCCCGTTTGGATTAGCTGATTTGAAGTAGCTGATAAGCATTAGGTGCTGAAAAGCACTTTAAATGTTGAAACTGATTTAATAAATAAGCAGTTACGTGTTTGGGTACAAGTGCTGAAATTGATAATAAGTTGCTGCAGTATTTGATAAAAAAGTGTTGATAAGCTCTTTTTCTGTTAAAATGACTTAAATAACTTTAGAACTGTTTACGCTTATAAGGGCGTAATTTGATGTCTATATTTATTACATACAGTTCAAAGATTAATACACAATCACATAGATACAAATATGCAAAGGAATAAAGCATTTGCTTATCTTAAATAGTCAATGAGAATTGCAGACTTAAGGGGGGGGGGGGGGGAATAAAGTTGATAAAATACTTTAGGCAGTGAGCATTGATGTAGGAATTTTGTTCTAAAAATAAATATTTTAAGGATAAAAATAGTAAAAATTTTGGTCAAACTTAAAGCGCTTATAAGCTTAAAATTCATAAGTTGGGGGTGACCAGCTTATGGCTTTTGGCTTATTTTTTACTTATAAGCACTTTTAACTTTACCAAACGCGTAAAAAAGCCCAAAATTGCTTATAAGTTAATTTGACCAGCTTATAAATTTAGCCAAACACCCTCATAAAATTGCGAATGTAACATTTATGAAGAGATGTTAGATGAAATATAACAACATAACATATTTGTTTTTGATACCACTAATTATTTATAATTACAAATACTAATTAATCCAACAAAATTCTATCATCTTTTGCATGTTCAAAAGATATTGAATTTAACTCTCTGTCAATTTAAATTAATTTTAGTATCTAGACATATATTGCATTTATTTTAACTTTAATTGCTTTTTTCCAATATTTTTTTTGTCTTGTATACGTTTAATAATGATTGACGCGATGTACACGTACAACGCACGTACACTAACACTAGTAGAATAAAGGTTTGTTGCACGTTAAAGCCTGTGAATGATCCACAAGAGGCCGCATTCAACACCGTTGACAAGTGCTAAACATTCAGGTAAAAATTTGAAGATAACAAAAAAGAAAAACCTCTCTAGATATTGAGAGTGAACTTGATATTACTGGTAATGAATTCTGAACTTAGTGGTTGGCCTTCAACAAGAGCTAAAATGTGAATTCGGAATCAAATGGTTTTAAGTTTTAACCACCAAAGGTTTGTGGTGCGGTGGTAAATACTACTCCATTCTTATGGCATGTTAGACCAAGCTTCTTCAAATCCAAAAGAATTTTTTTCTTCAAAAATGCTACTTCTTTTTTTCAAAATTGAAGTGTATGGCCAAGCTTTTAGAAGAAAAAAAAGTACTTTCGAGAAGAAGCAAAAGCAATTTTGAAGAAACAAAAAAGAAGTAACTTTTCACCAACATCATCTTTTAAAAAAACACTTTTGGAAAAAATACACTTAGAAATAATTTTTAAAAATTTGGCAACATTAGTTGCTGCTCAGAAGTGCTTTTCTAATTAATTAGCCAAACACAAACTGATTTTCATCAAAAGTACTATTGAAAAAAAATACTTCTCAAAATAAACTATATTTTGCAACTTGGCCAAACAAGCTATTAATAGCATATTTTGAATTCAGAGTCATGGAAATGGAATCACCATATGTAAGGAACAATTTTACCACCCATAGTGAAAACTTTCCGGGGACAAATTCATAGGACCCCCAAACAACATAGGCTGGTTTCAAGGAAGAAATATTATTGGCAGAATAATCTTTCAGGAAGCTGAGTGGGCACATCACCACTCTATGAATTACAACACAAAAAAGCTAGAAGCAAAAGAAGATCCTCAATATTGAAAGTGACGGAGACTCTTTTCCTTTAAGTGATGCTATTCAGGGGTACAGTCAAACAAGTTATTTTGATTCCTCCAACCTACTAAATTCTTGACTAGGTTTCTAGCTTTGCAAAAGGAATGTGATACCAAGATTCCTAAGAGTTCACATCACTTGTAAAGATTCTCTGACGATTTGGCACTTTATACAACTATTTTCCAATTCCTCTTTACTTTCACAGGCACGACATGTTCCCCACTTTCAATACTTTCTTTAGAAGGTAAACTTTCTCTCCTGCCGGAAAACCAAAGGAACCCCCCAAATTAGTAACAACAGCTTTTGACTCACTAATTGTGAAAGTGACATCCAACCAGATAGTTGGTAACTAATTAATTCTTTGTAAATATAGTCCAACTTTTAAACTAAATCTATGTCATAAATCCATGTGGGTGCATTACTAAATATGATCCTATTGGCTGTGTATCATCTCAAATATAGGATTCTAATCAATCGTGGATAGTTGGAAATTGGAATAGCACATTTAATCCAAAACCATAGAAAGTGCCAGTTAAAAAGAAATGAAGTAATACCAGCCAATTCCAGATATGACAATGACAAAGAAAGAGTATATTCACCAATTCTAATTCTTTTTTGCAAAGTGTCACTGCAGTGGGCAAATGGGGATCAAATTAATTGCATGAATTTTCCGCAAAGAATCATAAGTATTCAACTTGACATCAGTAGAAAAATGATTTACGGCAACCAGAAATAGATATGTATGAGGCATAAAAAGAAGAAAAAGAAAATAGAACAAAAAAATAAAACTGGTTAGCCGACTGAAATTAATTGCATTCTTTAGCCGAAAAGTGTATAAAATACATACTATACTATATAATACACACATATACATTCTTATCGGCTATTATTATGGGAAGCGAACATATGATCTCCCAAGAAAATACCCATATCAACAGGACCAACAAGTAGAGCAACTAAACAAGTTCTTAATTAGTTACAACTTTTTCTTATGGAAATGAACAGTAATCGAAATAATAGGTGCAACTTTGCACGGAGATGCATTAAATATATCTTAAAGCTTCCCTCAGCACCCCGAAAAAGTTCAGCTGCATTTACCGATATGCTATTTTCGCCAAAATGAATGAAAAATATAAACCGCACTCTTTTCGAATAGATAAACTATGCAAACAGGACTAGATATATGTGCATATAATTACAAGCTTATTTCTTTACACAACTAAACCAAAACCAGACCTTAATTAATTATTTAGTACGGTAATTATCTCTTTAAGATGACAATTTTTTGTGAAATTTGAGCTCGCTAAACACAGATGACAAGAAAGCAAAAATCAAGACAAAAGGACTATCTAGCATGTCACCAAATGCTCCCGATAGAACAAATAAGCTTTTGCAAATACTGTTCATTCTAATCTGTATACAGATCAGGAGAAGAGCAAATTAATTCTACACATTTTAGCAGAAAATTCAACAAAAGCAGTTAATACATCTTAAAAGACCAAACATGAACATATGAGAGAGAAGGGGGTTAAGCGCTGGATGCAGAGGTTTATCGACCGATTCCTGTTGCTATATTTTGTTTATCGCCTTTCAGGGAACAGATCGATGAACCGCTGCCTCCAGTGTTCTTAACCAACCAAAATAAAACCCAAAAATTTAAAAAAATAATTAACAGCATCCCGCTCTCAGTTTGTGATATATCACATAGATCTACCCTCCATAAACACAAATCAAATATACCTACCAAATAATTTGCATAAACACAGGCAGCCAAACTCATTGACTTCCGAAGTGACATAAATATTATGAATTTAATAGTATATTTTTTATACATGGAAAACTGCAGGAATCTATCGCAAATTAATCTAGATTCAAGAGAGAGGAAGAAGATAAAACCCAGTGCCAGACTGCAGAGCTGCCATTGATGAACTGTCACGCATCCCTTATTTCTTCTTTTTTTTTTCGGTACTTACGGTGTTTATTTATCGGAATAGCAGCTGTGGGGTAATTATACGCATAGCGGCAGTGACTTAGGGAGGGTTCAATTTACCACTTTAACCCTAGATACTGAAGGCATCGACCAATAATAATTGTGTTTTTGCTACGAATCACAAGGGTAATTAGTACAGTGAATTGGAATAGTGAGAGTGACGTGTCTGACTGAAATTAGTTGGGGGGAGTCCCGGGTCTGGCTGCAGAGCGTGCTTGGGAACAGTGTACACGTGTTTGGATCCTGTTAAAGAAATCCTCTGCTAGATTTTTTTTTCACCATCTGTTATAGAAAAAAGGAAAAAAGGCGCACTGAATGGAAAATTTTTTATTTTGTGTCTCCTACAACTAACACTAATTGTATGAATCATTTTTTTTGTCTCACAGTTTAGTGGACCTAAATTTTGTGGACCCAGAAGTATAAGATTTGGAATCCACAAATTTGTGAGAGAAAAAGGAGTCTCACACAACTAATGTAAGTTGTGTGGCACAAAATAAAACTTCTCACTCAATGGAGTTACATCAAATTAGGAGTAATTTTAGCATTGTCAAATAGGTTAAATCAAATAAATGCATTAACTGACTAAATATACATAAAACCACATTTTATGTGTATTTGTTTCGTATAAACGTTGTTACGGTGAATACAAATATATACTGTATATTTTTTAATGTGAAAGAATACACTAGAACACAGATGTGAGTAAAATGGATCATAAAACATCTAGGGGTTGTTTGGTTCACCTTAGTTATAGAGGGATTATAATGAGAGAATTGTTTATGTGATGATTTATAACAAAGAATGAAAGGATTATTGTGCGCTGACTAATAATAAAGAGATAATGTTATCCACGTATTACTTAGTGGACGTTTGGACATAAGAATTGTGAAATTTCGGGAATAAGTGGGGAAAAAAAGTCAAGTAAAAATGGTATTTAAAAATTAGAGTTATATTTGGACATGAACATAATTTGGTATTGTTTTTGAATTTTTATGAGAGATTTGAGGTGAAAATGTTGAAAAATAACTTTTTTTCAAATTCTATATTTTTACTAATGTGGTGCTTATTGTTTACCCTTAAAATTGGATAGCAATTAAACTTATAATGTGGTTTAAGGACACGTGACTTCACCTAATACCTATTGATAAATGTGAAGATTAATAATAGAAATTGACAATAAGATAAAGCAAACCAGTGTTTGAATGAAATTCAGCCCTTGAGCTTGGATACCCTCAAGCTGATTGGTATAAGAACAGTTAAAAATATAAGCAAGTTGATGAACAAGGTTATAGATTAAAGACAAAGTGTTATATTTCTTTTATATCTCAGAATGTAGTGTTACAAATGATTGGAACTCCTCTTTATATAGTAGAGGAATCTTAATTATGGTATAACTCTAATTACAAATGAAAATCCCACGATTAGCTAATTAACCGTCCTTGATTTGATATGTTCCGAGATTTTCGCCATGATCTTCGACCAGTCACGGATACTTCGCCTTTCTGTTATTATGCTACCTTCGATCTTGCTCAATCTCTATATTATTTGGTCTCAATAGCTACTGGCCTCGATCTTGATAGGTACCTCGAATCTCGAACTCGGTACCTTGTCCTCGTGCCTCGGTCTGATCTATTACGGGATCGATCTTCGATCTTTCACACTGGTCTCGATAAATTAGTAAAATCGGAAGGGCCCGATTTTAATCGTATACAGATAGTCCCCTCGTTTCTAGGAGTGTAATGACATGAACGAATTGAGCCTTCGATCCTAGACCTATCATGACGTCATTCCCGTAACATAAGCGGCAGATGTGATCGAAATGTCCCGTCGGTGCAGTTCCCTAGGCATTTAATGCATGCCAGTTGATGGTCGGCCACTAGTGGTTTCGAACCGTCACCGTGAAACCCATAAATAGGCCCTTTTCTCATTGATTCAAATTTTACTTTCAGTTTCTTCCAATCTCCAAAGCTTTTTACATCTTTTAAGTTTTTCCGTTCTGCATAATCTCCAGGTTTTGTTATCAAACTTCTCTCAAAACACCAAGCCTTATTTTCTTCTTCTTTCTTCAAACTCAAACCCAAAATGGCGAAAACATCCAAAACTGTACCGCGGAAAGAAAAAGCTTCCTCGTCTAAGCCGGCCGGTGAACAACCAGCGGCGAAGCCACTCCCTGAAGAATTATTTCCTCCGTCGTGTGTCCTTGACTCCGATTTCAAAGTTGAAACGACCTCCTCGATTCTGGGTCGATGTGAGCCCATGTCGAGGTATATATGCACAATCACTAGTGGCATTTTAAAGTAAGTTAAAAAGGAATACAAGGTAGGCAAGCTCGTGGTGGTGCCCTCGCCTGAAGAGTCAATCACTACGCTTGTGGAGGGTTTTTTGAGTGTTTACACTTACCCTTTCACATTCGGTCCTCTAGATCAATTCATTGTGGACTTCTGCAAGAAGTACGAGGTCACCCTCGGCCAGATTCATCCTTCTTTTTGTAGGATAGTGACATTGCTTCATTTTTTTGTGAGCAAAGTCGAGGGGCTTCCCTTCACCCTCGACCATCTCATTCGTTTGTATAGCCCCCGACTTTATCGAGGTGGGCTAATAAAGCTTCAACGTCGGTCTTCGAAGGCGGTTTTCTTGAGCACAGATGAGGACAGGGACTGAGGTTGGATGGGCCGATTTGTCCGAGTGAAGACCTCGGACCTAATCCCAGCTGAGAGCATGCCATTTCCAGAGAAATAAAATATGAAACGTGAGTATAATTCCATCTTTTAACTTTTGTTTATTATCTTCTCTTTTTTCATCCTTTCTAACTGGTGTTTTACTTGGTGCTGCCATTGCCTGGGCCGGGTGTGATTCCCCATCTAGAGAACTGGGCCAGGAGCTTGGTGTCGACGTCTACACACGTTGAGTGCGTATGACGCTAATTGTCAAAGGGTCGATGGGAGGCCCGAAGCCATGGTATGTTTTTGCATATCTCGATAGCCTTGATCGTTGTCTGAATTTCTCCTTGTACTTGTTTTTCTTTTGCAGGTCTCGGGAAGGATGTGCCGATGAGGCCTCTGTCTAGTGAGGAAGAGACTTCGCCCCCGGTCCTGAAAGCGGTAAAGGATAAGAAGAGGAAAAGGATCTCAACCTCCGAGGATCCAAAGCCCAAGAAAAATCCGGCTCGTAAGCCAAATAAAGACACCGTCGCACTTCCTGCGGAGGTAGTTCAGTGGTTAAAAGAGGAAGAAGAAGAAAATGAAGACGACGGCTCCGAGCTGGTGGCCCGAGTGAAGAGGAATATCTAGGCCCCAAAGGCCTCTAAGTCGGTGAGGGTTGAAGAGATTCCGCCTCAAACTGAGGGAGTCTTGGAAGAGGACCCGGGCAAAGTCTACGAGTTGTTAGAGACTGAAGATGTCTCCCAGCGAAATGAGCAGTCGGCGGGTATGTCCGAAGGGACCAGCTCCGAGGCCCTTCTAAATGAAGAGAATGCCCCAAGTGACTTACTTGGAGCAATAGAATCGGAGACTCCCCGCCGCTTCTTTCATTCTCGGAAGTTTGGGAGGCTCAGGCCATGAAGGCCCCTCAGGCAGAAGGCGCCCTCGGAGAGGAGGACCTTTTCCAAGGTTGTTTTGCCAGGATCGACGATGTCGCTGGTGTGAATGACATAGAAGTACCGAGGAGGAGCTTGGGCGAATCTTCCTCGAGTTTCAAATTGACCAGCCAATTTTTGGCCCCAGCGTTGATCCCGAGTGCAAACGGAGTATCATTATTACGATCCCGGAAGATGCACGAGTTTTTATCGCCCCCGTAGGGGTGGCCAGTTACCTTCAAGTTCTGGTCACCAAGTAAGACCAAGCTCTGATGGACGAGGTGGGAGCACCATGTCTTTTCAATGAGGCCCAGCAAGCTTTGAATCGGGTAAGCCCTAACTTTCTTTGTTAACACCAGTCTTCATACTTGTGTTTTTTTCTCCTTGCCTAATTCTTTCCCTTCTATTTGTGTAGGCCTCGTTACTTTATCATGAGGCTTTCTTTAAGTCTCGAAGAGATATAAGCCGATATGAGACTGAAATTCAGGGGCTTACCGAGGGGAAAAATGCTCTCAGGCTTCTTGGTGAGCAAAAAGAAAAAGAAATCAAAGGTCTCCGAGCTGAGCTGCTCGTGGCCCAGAAAGAACAAAGCGAATTGACCGAGCAGATAAATAAAGTCTTAGACGCTTATGGTCTCGGTTTGGGAGTGATGGCTAATGATTTAATCTGACAGGTCTAGCGGCTGTATGAAACGATCGTGAAACTCCGAGGAGAGGTAGATGAGGTGAAGGAGGAGACTACAAAGTGGAATAAAAAGATGGACCGCCTTGCCTCAGAGAAAGAGGCTGCTCGAGCTCAGTTGTCCTCAACCGAAAGCCAAATCCAAGGCATAAAAAAGAGAAGAACTCGGAACAAGTCAAGAAAATTTAGGAGCTATAGGCTTGGTTGGACACGGAGCTTGCAGCGGCGAAATATGAGGCCGAGATGGTTAAGGCCGATGGTGAGGCGATCGTGGTTGTCTACTGATCTGACGCCGAAGCCGTTCAAGCTCGAGCAAAAGAAGTTGTCGATGCTACTCAGACTCGAGCATACTGGGTGGTCGAGCATGTCAAGTGCCGATCTCGAAGAGAGACTCTTGAGGAGATTCACGCTTGCGGATTTGACCGTGCTGTCGAGATCAAGAATGCGAAAGAGCTTGAGGCTGAAGCCAAAGTGTTGCTTTCTTCTTCTGATGATGATTCCGGGAGTGGAGAAGGCTTTGGGTATGAAGGTGTTGCTTTTGGAGAAGATTAAGAGCCCGTTTGGACATACAAAATTTTTCCTTTTTTCCAATTTTTTTTTTGAAAACAATTTTTTGTTATCCCATTCTTACCAATTTTTCCTTTTTCACTTGAAAATCCATTTTCAAATTTGAAAAATTGGTTCTCACCAGTTTTTCAATTGAAAATGAGAATTTTCTAGTTTTTAGTTTTACAAATTTACTCTATATTTTTAAAACTTTTAAAATGACCCCATCAGTTTTTCATCTTTGGCAGATACATCTTTCGCGACTGATGCTGGAGC